GAAGAGGGTCAGCTTTGTGACAAGTCGCGGAACATACTGCTATGTGGTGATGCCTTTCGGCTTAAAGAATGCCGGGGCGACGTATCAGAGGTTAGTGGATAAAATTTTTAAGGAGCAGTTGGGGAGGAACATGAAGGTGTATGTGGATGATATGCTGGTGAAGAGCAAAGAGGAAATTGACCATGTGAACGACTTAAAAGAAACATTCATGACCCTTCGGAAGTATGGGATGAAGCTGAATCCCGCTAAGTGCTCGTTCGGGGTTAAATCTGGAAAATTCTTGGGCTATATGGTCACAAGGAGGGGGATCGAGGTCAACCCAGAGAAAGTGAGGGCGGTAATCGAGATGCAGCTCCCCACGAAGGTGAAGGAGGTGCAGATTTTAACTGGTCGAATAGCAGGCCTGAGTCGTTTTATTTCCAAGGTGGCCGAGAAGAGTGGGCCCTTATTTCAGACACTCCGGAAGAGCTCGAAATTTCAATGGACGGAAGAAGCGCAGAGAGCGTTTGAGGAGTTGAAGAGGGTGTTGGTCGATTTGCCGTTATTAGCAAAACCGGTGCAAGGGGAGGACTTGGTGTTATATGTATCCATCGGAGAGGCGGCAGTAAGCTCTGTGTTGTTGCGGGAGGAAGGAGCAGCCCAGTTTCCTATTTACTACGTAAGTAAGGTGATGCAAGGGGCGGAAAGGAGGTACTCAGAGATCGAAAAGGGGGCCTTGGCAGTGGTGGTGACTGTAAGGAAGCTGAGACCATATTTCTTGGAGCATAGGGTGAGGGTCCGAACGAACATGCCATTGGGAGAAACTTTGGGCCGACCCTCCGTGTCGGGACGGTTAGTTAAATGGGCGGTCGAGCTAAGTGAATACACAATTATCTACGAGCCAAGGAGAGCAATTAAGGCCCAAGCGCTGGCTGATTTTATTCAGGAGAGGACGAAGGAAGGCGAGGAGCTCGAGGGGGTATGTCAAGTGTTTGCAGATGGATCGGTGTCGAGGGCTGGAGGTGGCCTAGGCATCGTGCTTATATCGCCAAGGGGCGATAGTTTGGAGTTCGCAATTAAGGTGGCCTACCATATATCAAACAATGAAGCAGAATACGAAGCGGTCATTAAAGGACTCAAACTGGCCTTAAGTGGCGGAGCTCGAGCAGTGCAGGTGCATTCAGACTCACAGTTGGTCGTGGGCCAATTCCAGGAGGGGTTCGAGGTCCGTGAGGAAAGGATGATGAAGTATGTGGAGGAGATAAAGAAACTGGAGGGAGAGTTTGATTCCTTCGAATTAATCCAGATACCTCGAGGAGAAAATGGTCGAGCAGACCTGTTGGCTAAAATGGCACAAAGTCTGGTGGACTGCAAGAGCAGAAGTGTGACCTTGCTTCACATGGAGAAGAGCGTGGTCGAGAAGGAAGTGGTCGAGATAGAAGAGGCGGAGGATTGGAGGGCACCGATAATAAAAGAATTAAAGGGAGGAGTTGTTAGAGCGATAAGAAGATTCTTTGAGCATGGAGGGATCCTATATAAAAGGTCACACGCAGGACCCCACTTGCGATGTGAAGGCAGAGAAGAGGGGCGATATGTGTTGAGAGAGATTCATGAGGGCTGCTGCAGCGACCACAGCAAGGCAGGCTCCTTGGTGGCAAAGGCCCTACGAGCAGGATATTTCTGGCCAACGATGAGAGGAGATGCCAAAGAGATGGTGCGGAAATGTTTGCAATGCCAGAAGCATGGCCCACTCATTCACCAGCCGGCCGAAGCTATGACGACGATGAGTTCTCCCATCCCATTTGCTCAATGGGTAATTGACCTGGTTGGACCCATGCCCCAAGGAACTGGACAAAGAAAGTTTTTGATTGTGGCAGTCGATTACTTCACGAAGTGGGTGGAGGCCGAGCCCCTGGCAAAGATCAC